CTGCTTGAAGAAAGCAAATTGACTAGATATGTCTCAGATGATAAAAAAACAAAGTGAATATACCTGTTCACTTTTTGAAGTACACATAGCACTCGGATTTAAATCCGATGTTTTCGCATTTTTTTTAATTTTTTTCAATAATAACTCGAATTGGATTAAATTTTTCAAAATATTTAAAATAATTTAGCATATATCTATGATATAAAAATTAGCTAAAAGAAATACTCGATTCTAGAGATATAAATAGTTCTCTTTTTGAAAAAAATCATGTCACTAAATGAATAAAATCATTCATATTTATTCTAATTTAGTGATCAAGATGAAACTAAAACTAAACCTATTAAAATTCTTACATCTTCCAATGTAAATAATGAAAATACAGAACCTTCAGCATATTCATTTGAAGATGTTCAAGTAGATGATAATAATCAATCATCATTGAATCAAAAACAAAATTCAATAGAATTAATTACTCATCAAATGAATAAGCCGAATTCCATACCGAAACAACATAATTTTAATCAACAAATGTTACTTGAATCAATGATTGATGCTAATGAAAATGATCAACAAGATAATCATCATACAGTTAAAACTGATAATACTCTTTCGCAACAAGATCAATCCAATAATGATTCACAGAAAGAATTTTTGCTCTTCGATGCCAATGAAAATTTAACTGTAAGTTTCATTTACTTATGAAAAATCTTATGAGAAGAAACATTAAGTGTTGAGAATATGAACAATCAAATTTCAGTCATAGATAAATCTTATAGTCAATAAAAAGACTCTAAAAGTAGAACTAGGACAGACATATCCTTATTAAAATATTAGTTTGTGACGTAAATATTTTAGCAAAGGATACATTCGTTCTGATTCAAGGTTTAAGGGATTGATAGTAGTTATAAGGCTGATAAATGAAGAAGACCTGATCATCCAGATTCTCAGTAAATCAATGATCCTAGAGCGAAAATCGAATAAAACGCTCATAACACGATAAGCAACGATCGGAACACTAAAATCAAAACAGACATTCGATAGGGAATTTTACGTTTGTACTATTTCAAAAATTGATTATCAAATGTAAACGAATTTGTCTGTTATTATAAATACTACTTGCTCCCTACATTTTCTTTTAATTCATCGTGTTTTTTTTTCGATTTTCCGCAAACAGAACTGATAAAATATTGTTGTCTTTTTGTTTTAATTTGCTACAAGAATTTCTTATACTCTTATCTTTATGAAAATAAATTAAGCGAACCACTGAAGCTAGACTAGAGCATAGTCGAAAAATCAACCAGCCTGTAGGCATTCCGAGCTAGGCTAGAGAAAACTAGTTTGTTGGTAGCTCTGTTCTAGATTAACAAAAAATGATTATCAATTAAAATGAATAAACCATTGATTTAATAAATCTATTCTGCATATTCCATTCTTTTCAACAAAGAAAAATTAAAGTTAACATTATACTTTCTTATAATTTTTTTTTATTCAATTATATAATCATTCTTGAATAGAGATGTGCAGAATTATGAGATAAAAAATTTGCTAGAAGAAAGAAGTTATTAAGATCGGAGCCAACAAAAAAATTCTTTTTACCAGAATTAAAGCTTATAGTTAGGCATGCACCGAGCCCGAACTTCCCGGTGTTCGATCATTCCCGGTACCTAAAACATTAGATTTAGTGATTCATGTACTTTAGTCTGCATTAGGCATCCTTAGAAGCCAGGTATGACCGAACCCCGGGATTCCCGGTCTGTACCCGGATTCGGTGCATGCCTACTTACAGTTCACTATTCTATAGTTTAAAGCTAATTATCATATAAATCAGATCATAATTCAAGCGAGATGATTCAAAAAAGTGCTAATAATTGAATAAATAACTAAAAAAAAAACAAGTTTTGAAGAATAGATTTATCAAAAAACATTATTGAATATTAAATTCCTAGATAATGTCTATGTTTATTACAAGGTCATCTATTTCTTATTTCTTTAGATAAACAATGAATTTGAATTTTTCCATTGTTTAAAATGTGAAAATGATGTTAGTGTAAAATGTGTATCTATCATTGGTAATACAGGCGATGGAAAATCTTATACACTTAATCAAGTATTTTTTAATGGACAAGAAATATTTCATACATCATCAACAGCTAATTCATGTACATTAGGTATATGGACAGCACTTGATGAAAATCATCGAACACTTATATTTGATACTGAAGGTCGTCTTGGTTTATCTGAAAATGATAATAAACGTAATAGATTATTAGTTAAAATTCTTTGTTTAAGTGATATTATTATTTATCGTACACGTGCATCAAAATTATCAAATGATATGTTTCAATTTTTATCTGATGTTTCAAATGCATATATAAAATATTTTCAAAAAGAATTAGAAAATATTATGAAAAATTATCAAGTTGATGAATCTATGTTAACTATGGGTCCAACATTAATTATTTTTCATGAAACACAATATACAGATATATTAAAAGGTTTGATAAATAATTTATTAAAATTAAAATATTAAAAAAAAAAAAAAACAAAAAACTTGAATAAAATTTAGATTATTTTCAATATAAAAAAACAGCTGTTGAACAATTAAAAGAACGATTTGAAATAATGAAATTATCTTATGATGCTTATAGGTTTGTTATTCTTGTTTAAATTTTAATTAATAAATTTTCTTTTTCTTTTCAGTTCAATTAAATATGTTGGTATTCAAAATATAGGAGAAAAATCATTAGATTTTAGTGAAATCAAAACAACTATTACAGACATACTTAATAACAATAATATACATTCTTACAAACCTTTATCTGTTATTTTCAAAGTATTAAAAGTATGAATAAGTTAAAATATTGTAATTTTATAACTCTATATTGGATTAATTTTTTTTTGTTATGGAAATGCAAAAAAAAAAAAAAAAAACTTTTAATGCATTTTATTAAAGATTTATATTGACAGAGAATAAAAACACAATCCTCATATCATCATTATCAATTTGAGTATTAGATCTTATCAATGAAAATTAGATTATATCATAAGAAAATGAAAATTTTCAATTCGAAAAAAAACATGTATTCTCGCAGAAATAGAACATAATCATTTTAGGATAAATTTTGATTAATAAGAAATAGTAAAAAACTCTTCAGATTCGCAAAGTGCTATATCACAATAGAGAAAAGAAACTAAGAATTTGTTTTAACAGAGATGCGGAATATACAATAATACTTATTAACAGATTTATGAAATCCTCAAGAGTTGTGTTTGAAGGTACGGCATCTTTGTTGGAGATATCAGGACAGATTTCATATACTTATACTAATATAATAGTGTGTTAATAAGTACTTTTGCATATCCTGTATTTTCGATTTTCTTAACATGTGACACTGTTACAATTGATTAATTGTTTGTGAGTCGAGACTTTGCATCATTTAGATCCTAATGAACTACGTATATTTGAAAAAAAGTTTGGGCGCTTGTTGTATAACTGCAGAGATACTGCATTTTTTACGATATTTTTTTTTTTATCGAAACCGAAGTTTTTTTATCGAGAGCACTGGAAAAAAGTCATTTTCGAATTTCGATTGAAAATTTTCCTATGAGACAGACTTTTTTATTGTGAAAGTTTTAGATCTCTTCGTTATTTCTATGTTAAGTTACGATATGTTTTTTTACATGAGTTCATTCGAGAATAGGAACAAATTAAAATATCTAAAGTACTATCTCCGCAGCAACAGGTTAAGAGTCCAAACTCTTTTTAAAATATTCATAGTTCATTAGATCCTATATGATGCACATAGTTCACACTCAACAATTCTGGAACTTTAGTTGTTAAGCCCCACCCCCCTTCAAAAAAGTCAATTTTCGTCAGAATCATCGAAATTGAGAAAAAATGCATAGGGAGATAGCCCGTGATCTGCTCTTTCATATACGATAAAAATTTTTATTCAGCATCT